TTTTTTTATTATTATTTTTTATTTTCTTTGATTTCTGGCGTTTACACATTTCTTTCCGGGTCCCGCCCAGGGACCTAAGGTTAGAAATGGCAGCATGACACCTTCCACTGACAAAAAAAAAAAAAAGAAGAAATTACGTAAAGTGTGGGCTGTACTTGTCAGAACAATGTTTTGTATCTCTTTGAGGCATGGACTTCCAGGAATCCCTTCAATTAGTCTACTGCAATCTTTTCCAACCAGTCCTAGGGCTCCAACTACAACAGGGATTGTTGATGTTCCCATATGCCACATTTTCGAGATTTCTATTATAAGGTCCTTTATTATTATTATTATTATTATCTATTTTGGCAGGAAAAAGACAACGTGTAAAAAAGTTTCTTTAGGATTTCATAGGACTGAAATGATGTTTACATTGATACGACTAAATTAATTTTGCTAGTCTATAATGTGCGTTCGGCGAAGGAGGAGCATATCCAATTTTGCGGAAATATGCGCTTAAAGGTTTTAGGCAGTTTTGATCAACATTTCTTTTCATGGTTAGCCGTAAGGAATTGTAAATATAGGACTACCTTACACTTAAGTAAAATAATAACAATAATAATATTTATTAAGAATTTATTATAGGAAATATCAAGTTTTACGGAAAGAGTTTTGACAATTATGTATTTAGTTACATAACAAATAAAAATAATATAAACTTTGATGCTATATTGGTTTGTTGTTAGGCATTTTTTTTCACTTCCTCCTTTGTTATTTGCAGCATTTTAGAATACTTTGGCTGCAATGTGAAGTTTCTAAGTTGAACAAACTGAAGCTATTTCGTTTACGCTTTGTTACCTCTCTTTTCCATTGCTGTTTTTAGATCACCTTCATCCAGGAATTTTGATGGGCAGTATCGAAATTCTGAAATTTAGATCGATCTTATTCCTTTTCTAAAATAAACGCTGTAAAAAGAAATAATTTACATTAATGTACGACCAAAAATAAAATGCTTTTGGCAAAAAACCTTAATTTTGTTTAATGTCTTATAGTTATATGACGCGTTTGGCGGAGGTGGGGCGTAGTCAACTTTTGATAATTTTGCGGCAATAAGCGCTTAAAGGTTTTAGGCAGTTTTGAACAGCATTTCTTTTCATGGTTACCCGTAAGGAATTGTAAATGTAGGATTACCTTCACTTAAGTTAAATAATAACAATAATAATAATTACTAAGAATTTATTACAGGAAATATCAAGTTTTACGTAAAGAGTTTTAACAATTATGTATTTAGTTACATAAATCAATAAAAATAATATAAATTTTGATGTTATATTCGATTTTTTGTTATGTATTCTTCATTTTCTCCTTTGTTATAGGCAGCATTTTAGAATACTTTGTCTGCAATGCTAGTTTCTAAGTTGAACAAACTGACGCGATTTCTTTTAGGCTTTGTTACCTCTCATTTCCATTGATGTTTTTCGATCTCTTTCTGTCACATATTCAATCAATCTATCCAACTACAACTGGAATTATTGATGCCCTTATGGCCTACATTTTTTACATTTCTGCTTCAAGATCTCTTTGTATTTTGGTAGTATTTTTGAAGACCTTCAAAGATACATTGCAGTCTGCAGGAACTGCCATGCCAATAAAAAAAGCACATTCTGTTTTTTGGTCTTTGATCACTATGTCTGGGCGATTAGCTTTGATTCTTTTGTCAGTATATATTGTAAAGTCCCATCAAATTGTTACTGGTTCAATCTATGTAACCAGTTCTGGGTGATGTTCATACCAATTTCTTGCAGTTTCCTTCCTATAAAGGTTGTAGATTATACATCGTTATAACTACTGAAAGTTTTCCTGATGAGTCTTATTTCTTCACTCAATGAATGAATAATCTCATAGCAAGTTCTACGATAATAAATTATCCGTAGAAATCTCCCTACTAAATATTCGTTAAATACAGTAGAATCCCTGACAACCGGACTAAGAAGGCCTTCCGGATATGAGGAATTGCTTACAAAGTCCAGATATATTTAGATTAAAATAAAAGAACAGAAATCAGGTTTAACATTTATTTTCAATGTTTTATAGTAAACAAAATAAGCTAATGGCGAGTAAAATATAACGGAATTGATTTTAAGGAAAAAGAAACAAATTATGTAATCTTAATGAAAATTCCAGTAATTAAGTCTGCCACGTATGCAAAACAAATAACGTAACGAGGATTTTTTAATCGCTGTTGCATGATGATTTGTTCTCTTCTAATGTCATTCTCAACTTTTTTCCGCAATTTTGTAAACGAAAGACAATTTTTAACTCTGCGTGCATTATTGCAATCGTCATAGCTGAATGCTGCATTTCTTTCCATAAAATTGACAACCTTTTCCATAGCTTTCACTCCAGGTTTCATCACAATCATGCATCTCGTCGCTGTCTTGTCGTAAATGTGTCTTGTTGTCATCCTTTCCTCTTATTCCCGTCATCTTTTGCACCAATACAAACCATTTGAGTGAAATAAGCATAAGCAATTACGCAAAGTAAATTTCCTGAATAAAGAAGAAATTTCAAATCAGTTACATATCACCCAAATAGTTCAAATATACACATCAAAATCATGTCCGGATATGCGGGATTCCGGATATAAATCACTCCTGGTATGACGGATTCTGGATATAAGGGATTCTACTTTATTTGAGCTTAACGACGTTAACAAATTTTGCAATAACAATCATAAATCTGAATGCTGGTCGTTATTTTAAGAAGTAAGGAGATACAAATATAAAGATTTGAATTTGAAAACTTTTCCATTTCTTTGAAATAACTTTTAAACTCTTCCCTTCTTTCTTTCTTTAGTTCTTTCTTTCTTTCTTTCTTTTTGTCACTGAAACCAAATTTTGTCTTTCCACGCGATCAAAACGGAATAGACTATTATTTATGAGGTATTCTCGCTTTTTACTAATGTTTACCCAATGCAAGGCCCAAGGGCCACTCAAGGTAGAGGGTTATTGTGTGGACGTTTAGCGTGGAAAGGGACAACCGTTAAGAGTACAGAGCTGAAGCAGAATTTAGAAGAAACCGGAAACTCTGTCCTGAACAGTAAAAAAGGGATAAATCTCAGCTCTTGCTCAAATAAAAGGAGGAGTGTGAACAGGGCGGGAGGTTTTTGCAGGACATAGCGGTCATGCAAACTAACGAATGAAGCGACAAGCACAATTATAATAAGAATAGGGTGTATCGACAGTGTTATTGTCGGCTGGTGGTACAAGGTCTAACAGAAGCAGGATTTTTCACAATTATGTCTGTTTGAGTTGTTTGGATTTCTCTATCACTCTGAACGCTGACATTTCTGAGGATCGTTTCTCCATAAAGAACCGGTTTGGGTATGACGATAAACTACATCCGCGTCCTGAGTATGACGATAAACTACATCCGCGTCCTGAGTATGACGATAAACTACATCCAACAGCAAGGCCTCTGATCCGGAGGATTTGAGGAGCGTGGAACCACCTCTTAATTGCTGGTGTTCTCAGATCCACCCTGACCCGGAGTGGTAGGGTCCCAGCTATGGGTAAATAGTTAACCTCAAGACTTGGGTCAAAACACCATGAATGTGTAAAAATAGGTTTTAATAGCAGAAATACTTTTTTTAAAAAATTATTACCAGCAATACGTTTTTGAAAAAAAAATATTACCAGCAGTAAAAATCTTGTCAGCATTAAATAACACATTGAGGTTGATATACAGTAAAACGAAACAAACCAAAAAATATTACCAGCAATAAAAATCTAGTCAGCATTAAATAACCCATTGAGGTATTGATATACCGTAAAACAAAACAAACCAAAAAATATTACCAGCAATAAAAATCTTGTCAGCATTAAATAACCCATTGAGGTGTTGATATACCGTAAAACAAAACAAACCAAACCAAACCAAACCCATAAAGAAAATATAGGACTCCACTATATTCTTATATATTAGAGTGTTTCAAATATATTTTCATTCTTATAGGGCTTTACATTAAAGCATTTTTTTGCACATATAAAGACTCTCCAGTCATCTACACCCTTGTTCAAATTAATTGAAACAACCGCTGTAGTTTCCTTTTTCCACCATACGGTCAGTTTTACACCCACTGGAGTGACAGGGTGTAATTGATTTCTATGTTTTTCCTCGGATTAGGTCATTTGCAGTGGTGTGCAGTAATGTGAATCTATTTTCGGAGCGTATGATAAAATTTATTTGGCCTTGAAAAATATTGCTTCATTCGTGATTGCATCCGATTTTTATAACGCCCAGATAATATTATCTCGAACGTCGATTAATTGTCTTATGGTCATTGTTTGCGATGGACATTACTCCAAAGAAGCGTACGAACATTGTAACGCTGCACGAATCCACTGGCAAGCATGACCAGTGAGCAAACCAAAGTACTAGAGACTGGTTGGGAAACTCTCCTGATTTAATTCCAACCGGGAACCTCTGGTCAATCTGCAAGAAAAGACTTCATGCAATGGACATACGAAGTACTATGATGTGCACAGGATCACCTTTTATTGGAAAAATACGAAAAAAAAAAGTAAATAATAACGGAAGTTTTCGTTTTGTTTCAATTAATTTGCACAAGAGTATATCTTATTTTATAATTTAGCTTGTCCATCCGTTCTTTACTTATAGGCCCTTCGACGTGATGTAGTGGTTAGCAGCTTGTCTTGCTAGATCCATTATGACTGAGTAGTGAGTTCGATCCTTGTGCAACATCTAAGTTACGCTTAGAAAATCACCACCCCCACCTTAGTTCGCACGTACGTTACGCTCTGTAATAGTTTACCTGTGCCCTTCCCACAAAACGCTTACCTGTTCACTGCCCACACATTTTTGGTATAGCAGCAACAGAGAAAATCTCCAATCTTTTTTTTTAAACTTCGGTGCGTTGAAGCTGCATATATGTGTTTCTACAGAGAAAGAGAGAAAGAAAATAAAAGCGGATACGCAATAAAAAACGAAAGAAAACAAAATTAAATAAAAAGGCGGAGAGGCAGTAAAGAAAGAAAGAAAGAAAGAAAGAAAGAAAGAAAGAAAGAAAAGCGGATACGCAATAAAGAAAATAGAAAAGAGAAAAAGAAAGAAAGACAAATCAGATACGCAAAAAGGAAGAAAGAAATAACAAAATGAAAACAGAAAGAAAGAAAAAGCGGATATAAAAGAAAGAAAGAAAGAAAAAAGAAAGAAAGAAAAACACAAAGAAAGAGAAAGAAAGAAAGAAAGAAAGAAAGAAAGAAAGAAAGAAAGAAAGAAAGAAAGAAAAAAGAAAGAAAAGGTCGATATGCAGTAAAGGAAAAACGAATGAAACAAAAGGTGCATGCAAAAGAAAGACAGAAAGACAGAATGAAAGAAAGAATAAAATAAAAGGCGGATACAAAAGAAAGAAAGAAACAAACAAACAAAGAATGAATGAAAGAAAGAAAAGGTGGATACGCAATAAAGAAAGGAAAAAGGTAGAAAGATTGAAAAAAAGAAAGATGGGAAAGGCTTATACGCATTAATGAACGGAAAAAGAGCGAAAGAAAAAAGAAAATGTCGTTACGCAATGAAGAAAGAAAGAATAAAATGGCGTATACGCAATAACGAAAGAAAGAAAGAAAGAAAGAAAGAAAGAAAGAAAGAAATATATATAAAGGGGTGGTTAGAGGAAGCGATAATTCCCCAGTGAGTATAATTGTTTCAATGAAATGGCTACGTACTATAAAATATCGCAGCCTGAAATAATTAAAATTCAGCAAAAGAAATTAGCAAAAAACTGTAGAATTGCCACGGGTCCCTCTCTACATGATTAAAATAAATAGATGAAAAAATCTGAGGCATTAAAACATTTTGTTATTTTACACTTTCGCCATCTATTTTATATAAAGGACCTGGTGAAAATAGTTAAGTAAAGATTTAAAGTTTGCATTAGCAGTAAAAGATCAGGTTATTATCGTATAAAACAACTATGTGAATAAAATAATAAATAAAAAGATATACTGCAGAACCACCGTAGATTCCAGCTATTGAGTAGTTTCTGTTATCTTTCACGGCATCTTCTGTTCTTGCTGTTATGATGGCAGCAATCAGTAGGGGGACGATTAAGTCAATCAGATATCTAATTTTTTTTTTAGGTAGTAAGATTCAACTTTTCAAGCCACGGGGCCACTCAAGGTAGATGGCTACATTAGGAGGCAATTTGTTCGGATTGGAGTGGAAGATAACGGTTAACCCTAGCCTTGAACAGGTTAAGATTGTAGTTATCGGGGAAACATTCTCTTAAGAGTCGGCCGATAAACTACTTCCAACAGCAAGGGCTCTAATCAGGAGGTTTTGAGGAGTGTGGAACCACCTCTTAATTGCTGGTGTTCCCAGGTCCACTCTAACCCGGTGTGGTAGTACCTGTTAGGGTCCCAGCTATAGAAAAATAGTTAACACCCAAACTTCTCTAAAAATAGGTTTTAATACCAGAAATACTTTGTAAAAAAAAGGAAAAATTATCAGCAATACTTTAAAAAATACCAGTAATACAAGCAGCTATAGGTTTTGTTTTTTTGTTTTGGTGGTGGGGAAATATGGCCTGCTATAGATTTCTTCAAGGAAAAATATTCCGAGAAATAGATTTTTGAAGAAAAACATTACCAGCAATAAAAATTTTGTCGGCATTAAATAAGCCATTGAGGTTGATATACCGTAAAACAAAAGACAAATCAAAATAAAACTTGGGAAACGGTTTAAGCCAGAGCAGTGGTTCGTAGGAAGAAGCTGTTCGAGTGGAACATCTCACCGATGAAATATAGAGTGAATGTGGGTAGTGTGCTACTATGTAAGTGGCATGGCGGGTCCTTGCCGTGAAGGTCTGAATTGGCAGGACCAGGGAAAGTAGTTCGTCCTATCACCTTCAGTGGAAAGAGCGAGATGCTTGCCACATCCCGCCTATGGGAGAGAAGTTGCAAGATGGAGAATGATTCGTCAAGCACAAGGGCTCTGAGAAGCTTTTCGACTCAAGGATGGGGATAGAGTTTTGGACAGGTCGCGACAAAATATGACAGCAGGATTCCATTGTCGGCGTGATCTGACTCTTGTAAAGGTAGACGATACCAACGGGAGACAGATACGTACTGGAGCGATACAGACAGACTTCATCAGCCTTTATACCTTCATCTTTAGCAATGGACCGTATGTAGGAGTTTCAATGGGGGAAGGTGCGAGTTTGAGGCCCAATTAAAATGAACAGTATAAGATAACCCTGAAACCAGGACTCGAAAACTATCAGAAAAAAAAATCATAAAACATACAAAATGTTGTATAAACCTGATAAAATTGTAGGAAATCTCAAAATATTCATTAACCTGAATACTTTCGATAACCATGGGAATATGAAAAAAATGTCCGATACCATCTCCCAACGAAGTTTGTAGATTTTACAATTTTAGATATCACAAAGACCTTTGGCAAAGAGTGGCATTAGAGGTTGCTACACAATCTCTCCAACCATGGAATCGGTGGAAGATGCCTTGCAATCAAGTCCTTCCTATCATAGTCAACCGTGAAGCTTCGGAAACCAAAGATTAATGTAGGCGTCAAACGGCTCAATCCTCGGTCTTCTCTTCTGCTTTATATTAACAATCTACCGAAGATCATTCTCAAATAGTTATTATATATCTATAAAAACGTTACGGGTAAATAAAATTTGAAGAATAAAAAGCCAACAAACTGATAACAATATTGTCAATAAGAATTGATATTTATTATCACAACCGAAAGATAAGAATATAATAATTATCAATTTTATTGACCATATTGGTATCATTTTGTTGGCTTTTTATTCTTCAAATTTTATTAAACGGCCTAGTAAAACGCACTCACAATTCCGTAAAATACTTGTCGAAAACACAATTATACTTCGACATGAAAACAATAGACAAAAACTAAAAATCCTTGAAGCATTATACATCAAACAGTTGAAACCCAACCTAAACAAAATCAATTATGGCATCTCACAAATATTCTTAAATGTCTATAATTGGTAACAAAAACCATTGGTTTATACCAACGGCTTCCCATACTTCTACAATTCACTCTCGTGTGGTCATGTGTGACGTCATTAGATGCAGTGCAATTTTCGCTTCTAGCGTCTTATATGCACGTGTTTATCGTTGCTTAGAAATCATCTATGTAAATATTGACAGACTATCATCACTGTCTTGTCCGTATATTGCTTAATATGTTGTAATTGACATCTTTGATCATGGGTTAAGTAGGCCAAAAGCTTAGATTGTATTAGAAAAAATATGGATCAATATTGTTAATTTCTTTCTTCGTTCAACGATAATGTTATTAAACTTATCAGACGTTACGAAAAAATTTTACATAAAGTAAATAGACAACACTTATCTATATTATTTAATGAAACGCATGAATATATATATATATATATATATATATATATATATATATATATGTGTGTGTGTGTGTGTGTGTGTGTGTGTGTGTGTGTGTGTGTGTGTGTATTCGGGCCTTCAAAAAGTGTGGATGGTCCTTCACGAGGCCTTCACCACTATAATCAAATCTCATGTGCCGGTGTCGGGTTGTCGGTTTCCTGGAAACTGATCTGTTTGATCCTCATACGTCGAGTCTCGACAGGAGAGTCGATTATATATATATATATATATATATATATATATATATATATATATATATATATATATATGTGTGTGTGTGTGTGTGTGTGTGTGTGTGTGTGTGTGTGTGTGTGCGTGTGTATCGCTCGCTCGACTCTTCCATTGAGTCCGACGTACGAGGGTCAAGGAAACCGACAGCCCGACACCGGCACATGAGATTTGATTATAGTGGTGAAGGTTCCGTGCAGGACCATCACACTTTTGAAGGGCCGAATACAGAGACCTGGTGCACTCCCTGTCACAAGGTCCCCAAACGACCCTTCGCAGGTTTTGAATTCAGACTTGTCCTTCTCCTAGACCAGTTGCCATCCAAGGCTATAGAACCCAGTCCTGCTATTTACCCATAGCTGGAGGGAGAAGAAGAGGATTCATACCTTTCCCAGGTGTATATATATATATATATATATATATATATATATATATATATATATATATATATATATATATATATACTGAATGGATAAATAGAGGGAGGTAAACGAGCAGGCGATCTTATACAATATATTAAAATACTTTATAGTGTAAGAAAAACAGTGATCAATGTTAAGTAACAAAGCTATTTAATATATGTATTAAGAAATATACATAATATCTTGCATTAATTGCACAACTCCGAGTTTCTTGCCGAAACAATTTTCAAATGCTGGAATTCTTATGCTTATTTCACAAAATAAATATAATAATAATTAAAATAAAATTAAATATTAAAATAATTTTTAAAAAATAAATAAAATAAATATTAAATTACAATTAACATAATAATAATGTTTAAAAATAAAAATAATAATTCGAGCACTTGTATATTGCTTCAGAGTTGTGCAATTAATGTAATTTATTATTATTATTAAATATATATATATATATGTATGTATATATATGTATATATATGTGTAGTGATTTAACATGTTTTATTATAATCTTGTATAATAAAAAATAATAATAATAATAATAATAAATATAATAATAATAATAATAATAATAAGGAGTTTCAAATGGGCGTAGAGATGCAACTACAGCACAATACACCGGCTGAAACTGCAAAATACCTAAAAAAAAGACAGCAAAGACGAATGCAACCGACCAGATACAGAAGCGATGGCAAGATAAACCGCTTCATGGCCAATACTCTGCCCATACCAAACAAGCTGACGTAGACAAAACCCGTACCCATCAGTGGCTACGTAGTGCAGGGTTGAAAGCTGAAACTGAAGGCTTTATCCTTGCTTCACAGGACCAATGCTTGCTAACTAGGAATTATCAAGCACATATACTAAAATATTGTGTCAGCCCAAAATGCAGATTCTGTGATAAATATCCAGAAACGATTGATCACCTTGTATCAGGTTGCACGATGTTGGCACCCACTGAATATCCGCTCACATGACGATAATGTACAATAGAATCAACCTACTTTAGTATTGGTACGATTCTCCCGACATGACAGAGTGGGACAATATCTGCACTGGAAAATCTGCAACTTCTACGGGAAGGAAACTGAAAGAAACTGGTATGAACACCACCCAGACCCGGTTACGAAGATAGGACCTGTTACAATTCTATGGGACTAGACAATACACACTGACAGAACAATCAAAGCCAACCGGCCAGATATTGTTATTAAAGACCACAAACAAAAACGGTGGCTCCTTATTGACATGGCAGTCCCTGCTGAGTGCAATGTATTTTTGAAGATATTCAAAAAGTTGTCAAAATACAAGACCTTGAAATAGAAATCTCGAAAATGTGGCATATGGGAACATCAACAATCCCTGTTGTAGTTGGAGCCCTAGGACTGGTTGGAAAAGATTACAGTAGACTAATTGAAGGGATTCCTGGTAGTCCATGCCTCAAGGAGATTCAAAAGGTTGTTCTGACAAGTACAGCCCACACCTTACGAAGGGCTTTATCTATGTAATTTATTTCTTTTTTTTTTTTTTTTTTTTTGTCAGTAGAAAGTGTCATGACGCTTTTTCTAAACTTAAATCCCTGGGCGAGACCCGGAAAGAAATGTGTAAACGCCAGAAATCAAAGAAAATAAAAATAATAATAATAATAATATATTGCTTTACTTTGTATTGAGCACTTTTTAAAAAATGAAAATGTTACGAACTGTGGATTTTTACTCCATATGTTCTTTCTCTTTTATATATATATATATATATATATATATATATATTAAGAATTAGTAGATTTATTTTTAAGCCGAAAAAAAACAAATCCGTTAAATCTTTAGAATTTGATTTGTTTAAAGATCCGTTACATAACTGAGAAGTTAAGACTGATTGATTGATTCGTTTTTTACGGTTTATCAACCCTTTGCAGATTATTTATTGCCAGAAAATCGTTTTTTATATTGTAAGAATTTTTTTGTTTTGGGGAGATAATAAAGTATATCTTACTAATTAATCCAAACATGTGTGGAGAACAGGTGTTCATACCTTTAATGGCAATATGAGCTCTGCTAAAAAAAATGAAATGATAACAGCAAAAAATGCAATATGAGCACTGGTAAAAACATGATTGCTGAAGACATTAGGGTTATAACATCGAGAAATTCATAGACAGGTATCCTCAAGGACACATGGCACAATGGATAAAGTCGTTACAGGACCCAAAGAGTGTGAGTTCAATACACGGTTAAGGCAGTGGAGAACTTGGAGAAGGGAATTAACAGGAGGTAACGATAACTGACATCCATTAAAACATGGCACGTGGAACTAGAACAGTCTACCCCAGTGAGCGAAATAAAGCCATTCCAACCACCTGAAGAAGGCCTGAAACGTTGTAATAAAAATGGCGATAAAGATGAGGACAATAGTCTGAATAATGTATACAATGTATACGAACTCTGTTTGAAAAGTAACGAGACTAGTGTTAGAATAATTTATTTCAATTCCAAAACACAATAAATTATTTTGTCTTTTTCAAAGTAATCCACTTCGAGTCTAATGCACTTTTCTATCCTTCTCTATCACACTTCCATGCCAGGAACTGTCGGATGCTCAGGGTGTTGTGGGCAGCGACATTGTCGGGGTGAAGCAGCCACGGTTTGTCCTGGCATAACTCTCGTCCCTTCTCGCGCTCTGAGTAAAGAAAATAGCTGTAGGACTTCTTTTATTTTTTTTTTTTAGACCTGCCAATTAATCGTCTGGCCCTGTAGAAAGAATTCACTGTGGACGATGCCTCTCATATCGAAGAACGGATAAGTCCCGTTATTTTTCAGACAGAACTCGTTAGTTAAATACTTTTCACGGAAAGAAATGGATTCTACCCATAAGTCATATCAGGAAATGATAAAGGCCAGAAATGTCTGAAATATACATGAAAAATCTTTATGGAAGTCTCTAGTGCTACAGAATCGCAGACCCCCCCCAAAAAAAAAACTGCGGCAGTACTGATAACGGACATGGAAAAGAAATTTCAAAATCTCCTACAGAAGATATCGAAGGAGAGCGAGAAGTAAGGACTAAGCATTAACTACAAAAAGGTCGAATGCATGGTCATCACTAAAAGGATGAGCCCAAAATGCAATTTGCAGTTCGGGGACACTAAAATCAAGCGGGAAGTGTTTTGACGAAGAACGGTAAGTGTGACTCTCAAATCCGCAAACGTAATGGCATGACCAAAGACACATTCCAAAAGCTGGGCAGAGTATTGCAAGACAGGAGGATTTCTTTGCTAACAAAGGAAAAATACTGAGCTGTTACGTGACATCTGTCCTTCTTTACGGTAGCGAATATTGGACGAGTTATGGGTCTACAGAAGGATGCTAAAGATATCATGTCCGGAGCGTGTGAGCAGCAATGAGGCCTTGGAGAGGATGCAAACAAGGAGAAAGCTTATACTTAGAATAAGGAAGAGGCAGATGAAATTTCTGGGACACGTAACGAGAAAGGAGGGATTGGAGAATCTGATACTCACAGGTCGAATAGAGGAAAAAGAGAGACAGGGGAAAGCAACGCGTGACAAACCTAGCGGGCTTAAGCAAGTGGATGACAGAACGTGGTCTGGAAACGGTGGCAGAGGGACGAAGCTTATTGAGAGCTACAAGGGATAGGGAGGAAGTGGAGAGCCATGATCGCCTACGTCCTGAAGGGACACGGCACATAAAGGTCGAATAGAGGGAAAGAGAGAGACAAGGGAAAGCAACGCATAACATACCTAACGGGCTTATGCAAGTGGATGACAGAACGTGGTCTGGGGGCAGGGGGCAGAGGGACGAAGCTTATATAGAGCTACAAGGGATAGGGAGGAAGTGGAGAGCCATGATCGCCTACGTCCTGAAAGGACACGGAACGTAAAAAGAAAATAAGTGTTTCTGAAATGAGTCTTGATTCTCATTGGTTACCGTAAACTAGTGGTCCTGTGCTAGGCCAAATTAAATCTAGCGATGAAACGAACATTAATAAGCGGAAAAGAGGTGAGAAATCTATGACTTAAAAGCAGCCTAATTTCTACATCTGTCTACATTTCTGAGATGAGGTATTGTAACTATTTACACTATTTACATCTTTCAGGCTGTTATGCACACTTTTATTGCCTTATTAATGACGTTTCGGCCGTTATACGCTCCGGCCTTCTTCGGGATCTGTCTATATTTCTGTGATAAGGTATTGTAACTATTAACTATTTTAAATCGTTCAGACTGTTCTTCACATCATTATCCCTTATTCACCACGCTTCGGCCGTTGTACGCTCCAGCCTTCTTCGGGATCTGTCTATATTTCTGAAATGAGGTATTTTAACTATTTCCACTATTTATATCGTTCGGACTGTTTTCCACATCTTTATCCTTTATTCACGACGTTTCGGCCGTTGTACGTTCCGGCCTTATTCAGGATCTGTCTACATATCTGCGATTAGGTATTGTAATTAATTATAGTATTTACATCGTTCGGACTGTTTTCCCCATTTTATTGCCATATTACCGACTTTTCGTAAAGAGTTTAATGAGTCTAATGGGGATTACGAAAGTGTTTAGAGTGATCACTAATGATGACGACGTTATGCCTCCATTCATCTTGTCACAGGGCCTCAGACTCAACACAGAGGCCTACAACAAGTGCCTTGATGAGGTAGGGCTTCTATGAATCAAGAGGATGGCTGAGAGAAGAAACTATGCCTGGCAAAAAAAAAAACTCTGTACCATGCCACACAAACAGAAGAAACCAGTCATGGATGTCAAACAATTTCGGTGACCACATCACCACTTACATCTGGCCACATAACTTCCTAGACTGCAAGCCCCTTGATTATAATGTGTGGGGCGCAGATGAGCGAGTGGCCACCAGAACTCATTGTAGCATCATAGATGAACTGAAGGCAATGATTATGTCAGCATTCATCGTCTTAAATAAGGAGATCGCCCAGAAGAGTTGCAGAAGATTCTGAAGTCGTCTGGAGGCCGTGTTGAAGCCAATGGCGATTTTATTGAAGAACTTTACTCTTTAAGATATTTTGGTGTAATTTCGGTAAATATATCTGTTAAAATGAGATGTGTTATTTACATTTTTGCGTAATTTAAACAGCAATTTATCCATCGCAACCTGTATAAATAAATATATATATATATATGTGTGTGTGTGTGTGTGTGTGTGTGTGTGTGTGTGTGTGTGTGTGTGTGTGTGTGTGTGAAAAGTGTATATAAATATAAATATATATATGTATAATTATTTATATATTATATATATGGTACTTATTAGAAAGCGCTCAATATCAGAGATAGAGCTAACATAATTGGTTGGATAGATGTAGTTTGTGACCCTGGGTTTCACGCTTTAGCGATCGTCAGACAATCGCTAAAGCGTGAAACCTAGGTCACAAACTCACATCTATCCAACCAAATATATATATATATATATATATATATATATATATATATATATATATATATATATGTTTCCATCTGGTTTCCGTCTGTCTTTTGTCTCTCTTCGGTTGTCGCAACTGACGCGTCGACTGCTGCCATATTGTGGGATGGTTGTGTGCAAGTATTTTGCATTGGAACTGTTCGACTGCGTATTAAGAAAAGAAGTCCAAACGAGCAGGGAGAGAGCGGAGAGGGTGAAATGGAAGGAGTCGGTATTGTACGAGTCTCCAAGGATTGAGGTGGAAAGAAAGGAGGGAGAGTAAGGCTGGGAAAAACATAATGACGAAGAGGGGAAGGAGTCGAAGAGGTACGAGAGGATAAGAAGAAAGAGGAGGAGGAGGAGGAGAAGGCAGTTTGCAGTAAGGGAAAAGTGGGAAGAGCGTTACATCACACAAAGAAGAAATCCGCTCACATGACGATAATGTACAATAGAATCAACCTACTTTAGTATTGGTACGATTCTCCCTACCCCGACCCATCTTTTCTAATACACATGAGAACCGTACAGTAATACACGGGCACAAACTTCTTCCCTTCCTCTTACGTAGTTACAAGCACGCAGACACTATCTCTAACAAACACACAGACACATATATATTCATTTACTGAAATTTTGTTTGGAAATTTATGTAGAAATATTCGTATGTTATTATTCACTCTGTTGACAGTAGTTTTATTAGACTGATCAAAAGTTTGTGAGTATAGGGATAGATAGATAGATAAAAACAGACTGAGATAGATAGATAGATAGATAGATAGATAGATAGATAATGAATTGACTGAGATAGATAGAGATAGATAGATAGATAGATAGATAGATAGATAGATAGATAATGAACTGAGATAGATAGATAGATAGATAGATAGATAGATAGATAGATAGATAGATAGATAGATAGATAGATAGGTGAAAAGAGGAGATAGATAGATAATGAACTGACTGATAGATAGATAGATAGATAGATAGATAGATAGATGAAAGATGAAAGATATGACAGCAAAGAATATTTTTCGTCATTGTATACACACCTATAATACGCATATATATATATATATGCATATATTTTTGATTTTTTAAGCTTTTATTTTTTCTTTATTATATTTTTCACATTCTTCTTGATTACAATAGAAGCATATATATATATATATATATATATATACTATAACTATACCTATATATATATATATATATATATATATATATGAATAAATACATAAAAAGTATAATTTTCTCACTATTCACATTGTCTTTTTTACAGGCATTTTTATTTCTATCTTTATTTTTCACACTCACAGAAATATATATATATATATATATATATATATATATATATATATATATATATATTATTATTTGTTTTAAATAAACAAATAATTATAATCTAGTCTCTACTTGTGTATTCAGCACTGTTTTTAAAATAAAAAAAAATACTAAAGAACTTCGGATCATAAATTAAACGGTTCCTTCCTATTTTATCAAAAAGTTTGCCCATATATATATATATATATATATATATATATATATATATATATATATATATCTAGAGAGAGAGAGAAGAGAGAGAGATAGTGATCGAATGCAGATCAACTATGCTTTGGAATGCGGCAGAATAATAGGATGAAAACAAATATATATATATATATATTACAAATAAATGAAATTCAAAAATACACCATCATATTTCATTTATTTGTAATTCATTTATATATGCTCTGTAATAAATATATTGATCTGTTTCAATATTTGACATAATCAGGATTACTTGGATTACTTATCCACAAATTTTACATATATATATATATATATATATATATATATATATATATATATATATATATATATATATATATGAGTGAATATATATCCCCACCGTTTGCATCCACTCGGAGTTTCATGTCAACGCAATGATCAGGTGCTGATGCACACTGAGAGTAATTTTAATTTGAAAATATATAATATCGAGTATTGTTTCAATAACAGCAGCATTTTATGTGCAATTCGTATGTATATACATTTACACGCACACACACACAACATGTATAGCTAGGTATTTATAGATATGTATATGTGTATATATATATATATATATATATATATATATATATATATATATATATATCAATTTTGTGAACTTAGAAATCAGTACTGCATCGGGATTGATCGTTTCCCATCTTAAACGATCATCCGACCACTGTTCAGATATCCAAATGCTCTATTCCCGATATTATATATTCTTCCGCCATAAATATATCAAATTTTAAACAATATGATTTGTATATGAGGTCACTATGCTTAGCAATGTTGCCTTTTCCTCCTGACAAGTCGTAAAATGTTTCCAGTGTTCTGTCGAGAAAAGCAGGGAAAATCGAACTCATGCCATTTTCCCAAAGACTTAATGTTTCAAAATCTTTTTTTAATCGAAGTTCTACTATATAAGCCAAGTATGTAACATTTTCCCCATCAAGTGTTACCATAATAGTTGCATAATCTTAGCTCTTAACTTGACATAAATTTTTCATATTAGATGTTCCGACAAATGCCGAATACACTACGCTACCATGACACTATGTTAGTCACTTAGTTTAACCTGGTAAAGGGCTCTGCTACCATGACACTATGTTAGTCACCTAGTTTAACCTGGTAAAGGGCTCTGCTACCATGACACTATGTTAGTCACCTAGTTTAACCTGGTAAAGGGCTCTGCTACCACGACACTATGTTAGTCACCTAGTTTAACCTGGTAAAGGGCTCTGCTACCATGACACTGTGTTAGTCACCTAGTTTAACCTGGTAAAGGGCTCTGCTACCACGACACTATGTTAGTCACCTAGTTTAACCTGGTAAAGGGCTCTGCTACCATGACACTATGTTAGTCACCTAGTTTAACCTGGTAAAGGGCTCTGCTACCACGACACTATGTTAGTCACCTAGTTTAACATA